GGGGGGGGCCCAGCGCGGACCCAAGAAACCCGCGCGGAGCGCCAAAAACTTATGCTTATGTGATTTTGTTCTTCTTCGAAGGATGTCAGGGCGTTTCGTCCGATCCGCAAGACGAACGACGTCGCCCGTCTCAGCCAGGCCGATCAGGGCGAGCCGCGGGTGCCGAGGAGGATCGCGGGCCGCCTTTGCGCGCCCGTGGCACCACAAGGCCCCGAAAAAAGAACTCTCAGCGCGCCGCGCGGCGGCCGAGGAGCCGTATCTCCTCCAGGCGCAGCAGCACGGAGCCCTCGAAGACTGCGGCGCGCTCCTCTCGGGGAGGCGTAATGCGGGTTAATAAAAAAATGAGAAGGAACGATGTTTAAAAAGTAGTTTTCTGCTATTTTTGCAATTTTCTGACTGGAGGAGAACGCTTAAAAAATAGTTTTCCAGCCCGCAGCCAGTTTTTTCTAATCGTCACCCCGGGCGCCGCCGCGTGAACACGACCCCCTGTCATTTATTAATCGTCATCCTCTATTAAGACTCGGGTACGGCGGACTTGGTTTGGCCTGACGGGGGCCGCCATAAAAAAATGACGAGACGCACTCTGAAATTTGACGCGGGCTCCCGCTGCAGACGTCCCACGAAAACGGGACCGTCAAAATCCAGGACGCGCTCGTCAAAAAAAGAGTCGGCAAACCCGAGCTCCGGCTCACTCGAGTCTCACGCTTCCCCGATCCTCTGGAAGGAAATGCCACCCAAAGTAAAAAATCAAAAAACAAAAAAAAAAAAATGCTCCGAGCGATCGCACCCGACAACACGAGGCGGGAAACCCAGGCAGCACCGGGCCACTCGGGGCCTGGCGGCCGCGGCACGCAATCGCCATTCGTCGAAGGCGCGATATGCGGGGCGCCCGGGGACCACCGGGACCCGAGAGGCCTGGCGGCCGCGGCGCGCAGGGTGTGCGAGGCGGGTCGGGAACCCTCCAGTGAATGTCACGGCCCCAGCCAGTCGGGTGGGAGGCAACACAAACCTAGACTCTCGCAGGACCGTGAGGATTCCATGGATCGGCGCTGGGCCGCGCTCGAAGGACCGTGAGGATTCCATGGATCGGCGCTGGGCCCAAAGGGCGGCGGCGGCGGCGGAGGCGCCGCCAGGGGGGTCCAGCGTCGAGGCGAGCAACCCGCGCGGGGCTCCGAAACTGTACGTTTCTCTGGGGGGCCTGGAACTTGGCACCAACATCGACACGGGGGGCTGCCCCCACAAGGGGGAAGACGACCACGGATTCGGACAACTAGGAAGCCCGAGCACGACGGTCGGACCCGGGGCAGAAGAACATCCTCCAAGAACGTGAGACCCTCCGCGGGCCAAACGGAAGTACACTCGAGGGAACCCTCTCCCGGGATGCCCCAGGTCACCCAACAAACACAAATTGAGAACACTCGGGCACCCTCCCCGTACCGGCCTCGATCTTACACCTCGGTCCGACTGTACACGTCGTTCATTTCTCATCGTGCTCATTTCTAATTCTGCTCGTTTCTGATCGTTCCTGGCCCCCCTAGTGGCCAGGAAGAGGCCCAGGATAGAACAACGAGAAGTGAAAGGATCTTGGCCCCCAAAAAAACTCAAAGACCGTTCGAAGAATAATTAGAAATGGACCATGTGTACCACGCGGCGGATGCTCCGGAAACCCTGAAGCTCCGGAAACCCTGAAGCCGGAGGGGGAGGAGGGAGGAGGAGGAGGAGGAGGAGGAGGAGGAGGAGGAGGAGGAGGAGGAGGAGGAGGGAGGAGGAGGGAGGGGGAGGAGGAGGGAGGAGGAGGAGGAGGAGGAGAGGGAGGAGGAGGAGGAGGAGCCTGGAGGTCGACTTTGGGCCTCTGCCGGCCTGCCACTGTGGCCTCCCCCCGCTCTGCGCCCGCCGCCCTCCGCCGACCCTCCCGCCGGCCGCCCGCCGCGGCAGAGAGGGCGGCCCCCGCGGCAGAGAGGGCGGCAGAGGGGGCCCCAGGACACACAAAGAAATACACGCTAAAAAAATATCCCCCATCTTTTCCCATCTGTTCTGGGCTTTTGTCTCTCCCCCCCCCCCACTTCCTGTAGTTTTCCATGTGTTCTGGGAGATCGGCGATTCATTGTGTCTGTGTGCTTCTTTCCCTCCTGAGTGAGGGCAGGGCCCTCCTCCGGAGCGCCCCGCATTGGGAAGCCCGAGCACCGCGGCCCCGCCCGCCGAGCTCAGGATCATCACCCTCCCTCGGTGGAGACCACCGCCGACCCTGACACCCGCCGATGTGCCCTCTTCGACCCCCGGCCCCAAAATGCCCCGTGCTTATCACAAATATAAGAACAACGCAAAAAACAAAAAAAAAAAAAAACAAAAAAAAACAGAGAACAACAAAAAAAACATATTAACAAAACATACAAAAGAAAACTACCTCCAACCCCCAAACATCTCTCTGACATGCCCCGACCGCTTCCCTGGGGCCCAACTGTTCGTCCCGTATCCTGGCTTGGCGGCCCCTGGGCCCCGAAAACGACTCCTGAGGGCCGACGTCTCGGGACAGAACCTCGGGTTGCCAAAATCGTCTCGTCGGAGATCCAGGGATCCGGGTGTCTGGGCCCCCTTCTTTGGACACCCGACGCCAAGATTCTCTCCAAGCCCCGACCCCCAGAAGTCTCGACCCCGTCCCCGGGACCGGCTCTTCATCCTGGGAAGTCTTCCACGACGGTCATAGGGCCCAGCGTTAGGTCGGGCGTGTCCCCCTACAGGAGGATTTTCGACGAAAATTAAAAACAGCCAAAACATACCCCGAAATAGGCAAACAAAAATCAGAAAATAGTCTCCGCATTATTGTTCTAATTATGTTTGAATGTACCTCCTGTAGAGGGACAGGCCCAACTTAAGCCCAGCGAGGGCCCCCAGAGGTCGAACGTTGCAAAGACCGTCTGCAGGAGCGCCCAGAATCGAATCTACAAACCGGATCGGCGATCGAAACGCATCAGATCGGCAAACATCCGCAGCCGAGCCGGGAGAAGTCGAATCGGCGGAAACGAGCATGCCAGTAGGCCCTCGCTGAGAAATCGGAACCCAGATCGGAGCCAGAAGTCGAAGCCGAATCGGAATCGGAAGCCACCGAAATCGAATAGTCATTGCACCGGCCTTGCAAACGTGCTGCAGCGGATTTCTGCGTGGATTTCTGCGTGGATGTTTGCCCGAAGCGGCGAGTGAAAAACGAAGTTAGTTTCACGTAGATGTTTGTTTAGTTTTCATTCCCGGCCCAAAAAATCCGCACGAAATTCACCTCGAAATCGGGAACGAAATTCTCCAGGACACTCCAGGCACATCCAATCGTTTTCCGAACGAAATCCGTTCTGCGACGTTGGCGACATGAGAATCGAATCGAATCGGATCGGAGGAATCGGAATGAACCCTGCGTCCGTCACGTGTCCTTCAAGACGCGAGGCCTCCAAAGAGCTGGCTCCTGTGTCACGAGCGGCGAACATAACTTATCCGTAATTACCCGCGCCCTCGGGGTCTGGACCCCCTCCTCCTCCTCCCGCCTCCTCCTCCTCCTCCTCCCTCCTCCTCCTCCTCCTTCCTCCTTCTCCTGCTCCTCCCCTCCCTCCCCTTCCCCCTCCTCCTCCTCCTCCTCCTCCTCCTCTCCTCCTCCTCCTCCTCCTCTCCTCCTCCTCCTCCTCCTCCTCCTCCTCCTCCTCCTCCTCCTCCGCCTCCTCTCCTCCTCCTCCTCCTCCTCCTCCTCCTCCTCCTCCTCCTCCTCCTCCTCCTCCCTCCTCCTCCATCCTCCTCCTCCTCCTCCTCCTCCTCCTCCTCTCCTCCTCCGACTCCTCCTCCTCCTCCTCCTCCTCCTCTCCCCTCCTCCTCCCCTCCTCCTCCTCCTGCCTCCTCCTCCTCCTCCTCCTCCTCCTCCCTCTTCTCCACCTCCTCCTTCCCTCCTTTTCCGTTCCTCCCCTCCTGCGCCTCCTCCGTCTCCTCCTCCTCCTCCTCCTCCTCCTCCTCCTCCTCCTCCTCCTCCTCCTCCTCCTCCTCCTTCAAGAACATGAGACCCTCCGCCGGCGAAAACGCACAGAACATCCAAGGGCACCCTCCCCCAGAATGCACCAGAACATCCCACCAAACACGAAGGACACTATAGGGTACCCTCCCTGAACCGACCTGGACCTTGTAACACTGGCCATCGCTCGGACGTCCACTTTCTGTTTTTTTTCGGTTTCGTGCGTGGTTTTTTCCGCCAAATGATCAAGGATGCTCCTCGATGGTCCTCGCCGAAGGAAAAATGCACCCGTCCGAGCGATGCCAGGCTGTACTTGGGCCCGACTGCACCATGCGTTTCGCCAAGGGCTGCTCCGTCCTCGGCCCCCACGCGCTGCTTCAGGCACGAGCGCTCCGCGCACAGCGCGCGCAGCGGCGCCATGCCTTATAGTGGGCCTTGAAAACTGCGCGGCCGCTCTGCCTGCCGTTTCGAAAAATCTGGCTCCTGATTCTGAACACGGCTGGGCGTCGCTTCATGGGGGGGGCAATGAATGGAAGTGTCGGGGGGAAGATAAGATGGGCCCCCTTCCCTGTGGAGCCCTGGCGGGCCCATTTAGGGACCCTACAAGACACCTGTTCTGCAGCCCTCGCTGCCCCCCATTCATCGCCCCCCAGTTACACGATGCCCAAAACGGTCCAAGAAACTGAGCACTGGAACGGGAGAAAAGAAAAACAGTGCTGGAATCTGACACGAAACCAGAACGGACAAAACCACTTACAAAAAAAGAAAAACGGCTCCAGAACTGGATGAACAAGCGGCGACGGAATCGGAAGAACAATTGAGCGACGAAAATAAATGGCTCTTACGCGAGATGACATAGCGACCTTACGCGGGCAGCCAGCGTGGCACACCGCGTGGAGAAGAGGGCGTTTGCGCGCGGCCTTACGCGGGACGCTTACACGCGACGTCGGCACAAACGACCCCCTTTTCCTCCGTCGCTCAATTGATAAGCTTACCAACGAAAACGGCCCTGATGGGGAAACCCCAAAAAAGATACTGATATCGTTACCCCCCCCAGACCTCGCCAGGGGCGCGTTCTGACTAGCATGTCGGGGCGAATCCAGCGGTGGCGACGAGGGTCTCCGATGAGGCCCAGCGTGGCGAGCACGAGGGAAGGGGACAGGATGGGTATACCTTTTTTCCTCCCCTGCCGCCCAAAGGCCTCGACATTCCCTGGGACCGGCGTTGCATCCGGAAGTGTTTCGTTGACGGCCCCTGGGCCTGGCGAGAGGCCCACGAGGCCGAACATGCAGAAAAAAGAAAAACAAAAAAAAACGTCGTGCTTGTCCCATGACCCGAGGGCGTCCAGGATCGTTGCCGTTCCTGGAGGCCTCCTAGATGGGGTCGGAGTAGGTAGGATCGGAGGATCGCGCCGCATCGCCGATACACCGACGATGCACTGGCGACGGATCGGCGATGCATCGTGGACGTCGGCGATGCATCGGCGATGCGGCGCCATCCTCCGACCCCCCACTCGGAAGGCCTGGGGCTCTGCATGGGGCGCCCACGAGGCCTGGGGAGGCCGAAATGAGATTCTAGGAGGGAGAGGGAGGGAGGAGGGAGGGAGGGAGGGAGGGGGGAGGGAGGGGGGGGGGAGGGAGGGAGGGAGGGGGGGAGGGAGGGAGGAGGAGGGGAGGGGGAGGGACCTGTGCGCGGTCCCCCACCAGTGCCTTGCTTCTGCTCGCCATGCCTTTCTTCTACGCCGACCCCGTCTGGGATCGGCGGCTCGCCCAGGGGGGAAGTGCGAGCGGCGGGCCTCGAACATGGTGTAATTTAATAATAGAAGGGATTCTGGTTTCGGGGAAGGGATTCTGGTTTTCGGGACTCCTCCTCGCTCCTCCTCCTCCTCCTCCTCCTCCAACCTCCTCCTCCTCCTCCTCCTCCTCCTCCTCCTCCTCCTCCTCTCTCCTCCTCCCCTCCTCCCCTCCTCCTCCTCCTCCTCCTCCTCCTCCTCCTCCTCCTCATCCTCTCCTCCTCCTCCTCCTCCTCCCCTCCTCCTCCTCGTCTCCTCCTCCTCCTCCTCCTCCTCCCCTCCTCCTCTCTCTCCTCCTCCTCCTCCTCCCCTCCTCCTCCCCCCTCTCTGCCCTGCCGCTCCCAGGGCCCCTTGAGAGCTCCCTGCCTGGCATGTCGCAGCCGCGCCGCCGGGGCGGGCCGGCCCTCCGCGGCGCCGCGCCGCCCAGGAACGGCCCCAGCCCGCGGCTCTGGCCGCCCGCGGCGGCCCCGGCCGGGGGCCGCCCGCCTCTCGCGAGCTCGTTCGGTTTCGGACCCTCTGGAACGGGCTCACCCTGCGGCATCCTGATCCTACCCTCCCCCTCCTCCTCCTCCTCCTCCTCTCTCCTCCTCCTCCTCCTCCTCCTCCTCCTCCTCCTCCTCCTCCTCCTCCTCCCTCCTCCTCCTCCTCCTCCTCCTCCTCCTCCTCCTCCTCCTCCTCCTCCTCCTCCTCCTCCTCCTCCTCCTCCTCCTCCTCCTCCTCCTCCTCCTCCTCCTCCTCCTGACCCGCCGCCTCACACGAGCTCTGGGGATGTCCTTTTCCGATTCCCACTCCCTGAGATCCTGGCGTCTCAATTTTTTCGAGCCGGGCGTTTTCGCATTTTTTTTCGAGCCTCAGGACCCTCACATATCGATCCGGCTCGACAAATGACGCAGAAAGATGGGGTCTAGGGCTCCGGGCGTGATTTTTTACGATGCTGCAATTGTTTCGCTACGTCGGATCTCAGGGATCATGGGACGCACAGAGACATACTAGTACCGATATGTGCTCCTCGGAGGCGCGCGTCCGATCCGTACATATAGTATGCCCATCGTGTAGCAGATCGTTTCCCGAGCGATGTGGCCAGAAAGATCCCGCCACGACGTATATACTAGAAGAATTCTCGGTGCGCGCGTCGCCCCTGGGGGGCGACGCACACATAGTATGTGTATGCTGGGATGACGCCGGAATTAGCCGGAATGACCGAACTCAAGCGAAACATGGAGATGTAAAGACGCAACTTGCAATGAAGTCGACAAGCTGGAAAGTTCGATCGTGGCCGACGCGGCCAGTTTGTTCGCTACCAGAAGCTGGCCTGCCCTGTACTCGCAATGGAGGCCGGAAGAGCCCCTCTACTGTCCCGAAGCCGCGTCCAGCTCAGGGGAGAAGAAGATACCAAGATATCCAAGAGAGCATCTGTTTATTTGCGGCGATGACGGGTGTTACAGTCAAAACTGAAAATAAGGATGCGCGATAAGGATGCCAGCCCCTTGGACGCCCATGTCGAAGCATTTCGAGCGGGGCTGGCCATCGAAAGGGGTTGAGGATGGACCGATCAGGCAAGGATGCAAGGATACCCTTCGGAAGGTGACCCATCCTTACTAGTGGTTCCGACTGTACCAAGACACCCACGAGAGCATTTTCTTATTCGCGGCAATAACGGGCTTTATGGGGAGGAGGACGGGGGGGTCAAGGCCTCATAACGCAACGCCCCCGCCCCCCCACCGTGACAGACTGAGGTGCCAGAAGCACTGCGGCAGTGCCAGGGACGCACTTGGGGGGGGAGGTCGAGGGGTGTTACGTTGTGGGGGGTAGACAAGGGAGCGAGGGGAAGGGCAGAACTCGCGTTATTGCCCAGAGGGTAAGAGAACACTCTCCAACGTATTGAAAAATTACATGCGGAGGTTTTCCTGAGTTTTCAGCCTCTGGGGGCCCTCGCCACGCCTCAGGACAATCAAAGAACGACTCGTGCTGAAAAGAGGGCCAGACTTCTGGAGGCCACGTTGTGTAGAAAACATGTTTTCTGCCGGCGTTCTTCCTTGGATTCGGCCAGCGGGGGCCGCGTCTGGTCCCCAGGGCCATCGAAAACGAGTCGGGGACGAAAAGCTACCCCCTGGGGAAAGCGGTCAAGACCTCTGGGTCCGAACAGCATCATACTGGCGGATGCAGCGCACACCTCCTCTTTTGGTCCCCCCGCCCCACATAGGGGAACGAAGAATGACATAGACTCAAAAGCTCGGAGGACCGCGCGGATTTCTCGGATCTGCGCTGGACCCCCTGGCGGCGCCTCCGGCGCCGCCCCTGGCGCGCTCCGCCTCCGCGCGCCAGGGAGGGGGACCCAGCGCCGATCCGAGAAATCCGCACGGACCTCGGAGCTTTGATGTCCATGTCATTCTTCCTTCCACGCCTTTTGCTCCCCCCGCCCCCCGGAAGCGCCGCAGGGTCCCGCCCGTGCCGAGCGCAGCGCAGGCTCAGCCTCCGCGAAGACCTCGCGCGGCGCCTCCGGGCTGCTGGTGCTGCTGCCTGGGCCTGAGCACCGCTTCACCGATTCCCCCCCCTGGCGTGGCCGTGCCCCCCCCCCGACCTACCCACCCAGGTGGGGACGTACAGTCCAGGGTCTGCCCCCCCCCCCCCTCATGCTGATGCCTTCGGGCCGCCCACCCCCCGACCGCGCGATGGGTCCCCCTCCATCGATTGCGGGCACGCTTTCGGGAAAAGGAGTCGTCGGCCTACAGGAGAGCTCTGCAGGACGTCCCCATTTCGTCGTCGTCGTCGTCCGTCGTCCGTCGATCGTCGTCCGTAGTCCGTCGCCCGTCGTCCGTCAGCCGTCTTTATATTTCGTTTTTCGTCTTTCGTCTTTCGTCGTCCGTCGTCGTGAGTCGTCGTCGTCGTTGTCGCCGTCGTCGTCGTCGTCGCCGTCGTCGTCGTCGTCATCGTCGTCATCGTCGCCCCCCCATCCGAGGGTGGAGGCCGAGAGACTCTGGGACCCATCCGATCTGGGGCGAGGGGGGGGGGGGGGCTGGGCCCGAAGCCTCGAGTCGAGGGTTCACGGGGCCCCCCCCCAGATGGGACTGGTCCCAGGATTCCACAGCACCCACACACACACACCCCAGATAGGATAGTGGGGGGGACAACGACGACGCCGACGCCGCCGACGCCGACGCCGACGATGACGCCGACGCCGACGCCGACGCCGACGCCGACGCCGACGACGACGACGACGACGACGACGACGACACGCCGTCGCCGACGCGACGCCGACGCCGACGCCGACGGACGACGACAACGACGCCGACGACGACGAACGCCGACGACGACGCCGCCGCCGACGCCGACGCCGCCGCCGCCGCCGCCGACGACGACGACGACGACGACGACGACGACGCCGACGCCGACGCCGCCGACGCCGACGCCGACGCCGACGCCGACGCCGACGCCGACGCCGACGCCGACGGACGACGACGACGACGACGACGACGACGACGACGACGACGACGACGACGACGACGACGACGACGACGACGACGACGGACGCCGACGCCGACGCCGACGCCGACGCTGACGCCGACGACGACGCCGACGCCGACGACGCCGACGACGACGCCGACGCCGTGGCCGACTCCGACGTCGACGCCAACGCCGACGATGACGCCGACGCCGACGCCGACGCCGACGCCGACGGACGACAACAACGACGACGACGACGACGATGACGACGAGGAACCACCCCACACCCACAGGGGGACGGGGGAGGTGCACTGGCACCCTCCACAACGCCACGCCCACAGGGTCAGGACCACAGGGGTGGGGGTGAGAACGATCCCATTCGCGATGCCTTCGCGAGGCTCACGGGCGTAACCATCCAGCGGGGAGGGGCTCGATCCCATGTGCACTAGGGGGGTGAGGGGGGGCAACCCTAGATCATATATGCATGCTCCCTGCGGGTTTCGCAGGGCCTATCCCCACCTACGGCAGGTTCGCGTCGTGACAACTTGTGCGTTGGTCTCTTACACCGCGCCGATCGTTCAACCCTGGACAACCACGGCTTTCCGATAGCGCGGATCGTTCGATGTCGGCCGATTCTGGGCCACCAGCGGCGTTTAACCTTGAACGCCCGCGATGGAGCCGCCGCCGCGTTAACGCGGCGCGTACCTGCACCAGGAGAGTGGGTTGGTGGAGCTAAGATATCATTTGAGCAAGGACCGTCCGTCCCGGCATTCCTCTAGGCCTACCTCAAAATCTTCTTATAACAAAAACAATGTTCTAAGAACAAAAGCGATGTCCGTAGAACAAACAACCGATGTTTTGAAACAAGACGGTCTGAGCCAGAAATGTTCAAAGCACAGTAGGTGCAAACCGCCGAAGCAAAAACGTTTTCATAACATTCCTGGCGGGCCTAGGGCAAGCCAGGACGCCTCGACACTGCTTGAATCATGGCCCAGCGGAAATGGGTCTGGGGTGAACCAACAAGTACCGATACCAGTACCCCGGGATCTCTCCCCGGGTGGGTTCCGCGACCATCATTTCGAAGCGAATCCGGCGGTGGCGACGAGGAACTCCCAGGAAGCTCAAGGAGGCGAAAACGAGGCAAGGGGGGCGGCATGGGTCCCTTTTTCCCTCTCTGAGGGATACACATCGTTCGTTTCTAATCGTGTTCATTTCTAATTGTGCTCGTTTCTAATGGTTCCTGGCCCCCTAGTGGCCACGAAGAGGCCCAGGATAGAACAATTAGAAATGAAAGGATCTTGGCCCAAAAAAAAAATCAAAGAACCTTCGAAGAATTTGAAACGAACAATGTGTAGGTTGATCGGTGCCGAGGGCCTGGGCTGGAGGCCGCGCTGGCGCAGCTGACGCAGCTGGCGCAGCTGCCGCTCGCGGTGGTCGACGCCGCGCTCCGCGCGGAGTGGCACGCCGGCTCCCTGCTGGTCGGAGGGTTGGCCGGCGGAGACAAACCCTGGAGTTAAGTCGGGCCTGGCCCTCTACAGGGGGAATATTGAACAATAGTTGAAAAATACTCTGGGGACTATTTCGTGATTATTTTGGATTCTTTTGCGTATGTTTTACGTTTCGTCCAGAATCCGCCTGTAGGGGGACATGCCCGACCGAACCCTGGAGAGCGTTTTCCCTGGGCATTTTCTCAGTGCGGAGGGCTCAGGGTGAGATCCATCTGGGCTTCAGGAGGCCTGGAAAGGAGCACCAACACCAACGAAGGGGTTTGCCTCCACAGCGGAAGATGATCCTTGATTTCGGTGTTGGTGGCAATATTTCGGCCACCTCAGAAGCCAGGATATGACCGCCATCACCGAGATCGAGATCTTCTCCCCTCAGTGAAGGCAGACGGCCGATCTTGGTGTTGGTGTCAACCCCTAGGCTGCGAGGCTTTTGCACCTCGAGAAGCAGTCCGTCTTGTGACTCGCCTTTTGCAAGTACAGGCCCCGAACATCGATCGGAACGGCATTTCAGGTTTCCCCTTCGTCCTCCACCCGAAGAAAATGCTCGGTTCCCATGCTTCGTGAAAGTGGCAGCTACCGGCCCCGGACGCCCACGATCCGTGCTGACGTCCGAGCGGTGTCTGTAGCTCTGTGCTGTGTGCTGCTGCTCGAGCCGGGTCGATCTGTGAGGGTTTCCATGGCCCGAGAGCGGGCGACGGACGCCCGTCGGGGGCAGCAGGAGCGGCAACGCCCGGAGGGAGCAGGAGGAGGAGGAGGAGGAGGAGGAGGAGGAGGAGGAGGAGGAGGAGGAGGAGGAGGAGGAGGAGGAGGAGGAGGAGGAGGAGGAGGAGGAGGAGGAGGAGGAGGAGGGAGGAGGAGGGAGGAGGAGGAGGAGGAGGAGGAGGAGGAGGAGGAGGAGGAGGGGAAGGAGCCCCGGGAACGCCCGCTATCGCCCGCGGGGGGAGAAAACAAAAAAAAGAACGCTCTCCTAAGATCCGGGCGCTGCCGTGCTGTCCACGCGGAACGGCTGCGCCCGAGCTCGGGCCCTGCAGGGCCACCACGGAGCGGTCCAGCTCGAGAAGCGCACAGAAGAAAATTATGGAGTCCAAAGGGCTCTGGTCGTGACGTTTCGCAAAGCTGCATCTTCTTCGCAGGGTCGGATCTCTCCAGGAACGGCGGCCCTCCCTGGCGTTCCTCAATCTTTTTGTTGGAGCATCCTGGAAACCTGTCGTCGCCACGCTTGCGATCCCCCTCGAAAAACGGGTCGGGAGGAACCCCACCCCGAAGGGGTCTGGCGACCGATCGTGACCGGATCTGGGACCAACTCCATTCGAAATCGGCCCCCATGCAACCCTTCCCAGCGTCAATCAAGGGGCCCAAGGACACACAAATAAATACACACAAATCCCAGCATTCCCCATATTTTTCCATATGTTCTGGACTTTCGTCTTCCCCCCCCACTTCCAATATTTTCCCATATCTTCCTGGGAGTCGACGATTATTTGTGTCTGTGTGCTGTTTCCCCCTCCCAAAGTCAATCGCGGTCCGTTTTTCGAGGCGCATTCGGCCGCAGCGGCCGGCAAGAGGACGAGAAAAACGCCAGGCCCAGACATCCACCGATCTGATATTTCTTCAACCCGCGGCCCCAAGGAGCTCCCGACCGCTTCCACGGGGGCAGTCGTCCGTCCTGGATCCACCCTTGCTGGTCCTGGGGCCTCTCGCCCCGGAGGCCGAACTCGAAGAGAAACACCGGCACTGCAGAATCGTATTGTCCTCCAGCCGCGGTGGACCACAAGGGGACGAGAAACCCTGAGATCCGGCGTTGCAATTCGCCGGCCCAACGGGCCAGAGGCGTGCTAAGATCTCCGGTAATTGCTCAACAATATTTCTAGTTCGCGCGCGCGGGGCGGGCCCTGGGGGTCCCTGGACGAGAAGTACCCCGGCAAGGTCCCGGCAAAGTCCCGGCAAAGTCCCGGCAAGGTCCCGGCAGACTCCCGGCAAGGTCCCGGCAGACTCCCGGCAGACTCCCGGCAAGGTCCCTTTTCGAAGCCCAGGAGGGCTCCAAACGGTCCAAGAGAGGCCCGAGAAGCCCTCCAGACGGTCCAAGAGAGCCGGGAGACGCCAAAATATCACTCCCAAACGCCTGCGATGGCCTCAAGACGGCCCAACAGGCCTTCAAGACGCCCCAAGAGGTCCCTAAGCGGCGCCCCAAGAGGGCTCCCACAAGCAAAAATCGTCCCATTCCCTTAGGAAAACGTGCATTTTTAACATATCCGCCTCTTCGTCTTTCACACCTTTCAAGGCGGTCCAAGAGGCCCCCAAGATCACCCCAAGACGGCCCGAGAGACCCTCTAGACCGCTCAAAGACGGCCCAAGAGCGCTCCAAGAAGGCCCAAGAAACCCTCAAGAACTCTTTTTCGGAGCCCAGGAGGGCTCCAAATCGGTCCAAGAGGGGCCCGAGAAGCCCTCCAGACGGTCCAAGAGAGCCGGGAGACGCCGAAATATCACTCCCAAACGCCTACGATGGCCTCAAGACGGCCCAACAGGCCTTCAAGACGCCCCAAGAGGTCCCTAAGAGGTCCCTAAGCGGCGTCCCAAGAGGGCTCCCACAAGCAAAAATCGTCCCATTCCCTTAGGAAAACGTGCATTTTTAACATATCCGCCTCTTCGTCTTTCACACCTTTCAAGGCGGTCCAAGAGGCCCCCAAGATCACCCCAAGACGGCCCGAGAGACCCTCTAGACCGCTCAAAGACGGCCCAAGAGCGCTCCAAGAAGGCCCAAGAAACCCTCAAGAACTCTTTTTCGGAGCCCAGGAGGGCTCCAAATCGGTCCAAGAGGGGCCCGAGAAGCCCTCCAGACGGTCCAAGAGAGCCGGGAGACGCCGAAATATCACTCCCAAACGCCTGCGATGGCCTCAAGACGGCCCAACAGGCCTTCAAGACGCCCCAAGAGGTCCCTAAGCGGCGTCCCAAGAGGGCTCCCACAAGCAAAAATCGCTTCATTCCCTTAGGAAAACGTGCATTTTTAACATATCCGCCTCTTCGTCTTTCACACCTTTCAAGGCGGTCCAAGAGGCCCCCAAGATCACCCCAAGACGGCCCGAGAGACCCTCAAGACCGCTCAAAGACGGCCCAAGAGCGCTCCAAGAAGGCCCAAGAAACCCTCAAGACGGTCCAAGAGGCCCCAAGACGGCCCCATGATTGAGGTCCACAGGGGCAACCTGAACGGAAATTTTGAGCCTCCCGCCCAAACACGCCCCCGAAATGCCCCTACAAGCCCCCAAGTAGCCCCACGAAGCCCCCAAGAGAGCCCCAAGAGGCCCCCAACAGGCCGCAAGAAAGCCCCAAGAGGCCCCCAAGAGACCCCCAGGAAGCTCCCAGGAGGCCCCCAAGAGGCCAGGCAGACCCCCCCAAGAGACCACCAAGAGGGCCCACCCAGAGCCATCCACGAGGCCTCCCAAAGTTCCCAAGAAGCTCCCACGAAGCTTCCAAGGGCTCCCAAGACCCCGCCAAGACCCCGCGATGGCACAATACGGGCCGGCGGAATGAGCGAAGCGATTCAATAAAAGTTGCAGCACCGTCGGACATCACGACCCGAGCCCTATGATTAGGTCGGGCATGCCCCCCTACAGGAGGATTGTGGGCGAAACACAAAAGGTATCCCCCAAATATGCCAACAAAAATAATCAAGAATGGTCCAAGTATCGTCCCCAGACCATTTTTACTATCTTGAATTTTCCTCCTGTAGAGAGACAGGCCCGTTTTCACCCTATGACCACGTCCGTCTGCGCCCGTCGTCGAGCCGGATATCGATCTGCGGAGGCCCCGGGGTCCCGAGACCCAGCGAAGACGCACGGTGCGAACAGCGCTCTGCAGCGCCCGGATCTCCGGGAGGCGCCCTGTCTGGCTCGAGGGCCAGCGTCGTCTCGCCGAGCCCCCCTCCCCGGACCTCCCCCGCGGTGAACAAAAATCACGACGGGAACTGTCTCCCCATCTTCGGCCTCCGTGGGCCCTCACAACGGGCCTCGGGGCCCCTCAAAAAACGGCCCCTGATGGAAATTATCCTGGCGAAGGACCCAACCATATGCAGTTGTGAATGCCGCAATTGTGAATGCCATCTTCGCCTGCGCTCCCTATGTGGCCACGGCTTCCCGCCGGAGCCCGACATGCTCAGGGACACGTTCGTGGCCGTCTTCGCGGGCGCCGACGACGACAAGGACGGCGTCCCTCTCACCGAGGAGCAGAAGCAGGAGAAGGCCTTGAGAGCCATGAGGGAGGAGGTGGCGTTGCACGTCGACAAGGCGGAGTACGACGCCCATGCGCGGTTGTTGAAGCAGCGCAACTATGGGGCCACGATCCTCGTGAGGGATGTGCCGCTATGGCCCGGGGCCGCCATGCGAACCCTGCCACTGGCGCCTTCGGTGGAGCTCCAGTGGGGCCACGGTCCTCGTGAGCCGAAATGGCCCGAGGCCGCCATGCGAACCCTGCCACTGGGGCCTTCGGTGGAGCTCCCCATAGGGCCACGATCCTCGTGAGGGGTGTGCCGAAATGGCCCGAGGCCGCCATGCGAACCCTGCCACTGGCGCCTTCGGTGGAGCTCCCTATGGGGCCACGATCCTCGTGAGGGGTGTGCCGAAATGGCCCGAGGCCGCCATGCGAACCCTGCCACTGGCGCCTTCGGTGGAGCTCCCTATGGGGCCACGATCCTCGTGAGGGGTGTGCCGAAATGGCCCGAGGCCGCCATGCGAACCCTGCCACTGGGGGCCTTCGGTGGAGCTCCCTATGGGGCCACAATCCTCGAGAGGGGTGTGCCGAAATGGCCCGAGGCCGCCATGCGAACCCTGCCACTGGCGCCTTCAGTGGAGCTCCCTATGGGGCCACGATCCTCGTGAGGGGTGTGCCGAAATGGCCCGAGGCCGCCATGCGAACCCTGCCACTGGCGCCTTCGTGGGCTCCCTATGGGGCCACGATCCTCGTGAGGGGTGTGCCGAAATGGCCCGAGGCCGCCATGCGAACCCTGCCACTGGCGCCTTCGGTGGAGCTCCCTATGGGGCCACGATCCTCGTGAGGGGTGTGCCGAAATGGCCCGAGGCCGCCATGCGAACCCTGCCACTGGCGCCTTCGGTGGAGCTCCCTATGGGGCCACGATCCTCGTGAGGGGTGTGCCGAAATGGCCCGAGGCCGCCATGCGAACCCTGCCACTGGCGCCTTCGGTGGAGCTCCCTATGGGGCCACGATCCTCGTGAGGGGTGTGCCGAAATGGCCCGAGGCCGCCATGCGAACCCTGCCACTGGCGCCTTCGGTGGAGCTCCCTATGGGGCCACGATCCTCGTGAGGGGTGTGCCGAAATGGCCCGAGGCCGCCATGCGAACCCTGCCATTGGGGGCCTTCGGTGGAGCTCCCTATGTGGCCACGATCCTCGTGAGGGGTGTGCCGAAATGGCCCGAGGCCGCCATGCGAACCCTGCCACTGGCGCCTTCGGCGGTGCTCCCTATGGGGCCACGATCCTCGTGAGGGGTGTGCCGAAATGGCCCGAGGCCGCCATGCGAACCCTGCCACTGGCAGCCTTCGGTGGAGCTCCCTATGGGGCCACGATCCTCGTGAGGGGTGTGCCGAAATGGCCCGAGGCCGCCATGCGAACCCTGCCACTGGCGCCTTCGGTGGAGCTCCCTATGGGGCCACGATCCTCGTGAGGGGTGTGCCGAAATGGCCCGAGGCCGCCATGCGAACCCTGCCAGTGGGGCCTTCGGTGGAGCTCCCTATGGGGCCACGAAGCGGTGGGTGAAACGCAGGGATGAAGAGGAGGAAGGGGGCAGCGGGAGGAGGAGTGGACGCGGGGCGCTGTCTCTTCAAAACGAGGACCCAACACCACAGGATGGTTGGGAAAAAACGGGTCTGGGGAAGCGGTCCAGAGCTCTGGGGGAGTCGACGCTGCAAAAAAAAAATCACGGCGTCGGGGGCCTGGGCCCCCAGAGATCCGACGTCGTGAGTTTCTCACTGCGGGGTTCCCGGAAGTCTCGACCCCTTCCCCGGGACCGGTTTTCCATCCTGAGTCGTTTTTCGACGGTCCTGGGGCCAGGCGAGGGCCTCGAGCGAGGCCGAAAACTGGAAAAGCCTCCGTCCTGATTTCTTCGGGCCCGATGCCTGGGCCACACGAAGGCCGGCGTGGCGAGGCGGCCGAAGGAGGGCGAGTCGCCGCGCGGCGACTCGCCGCCGCAGCGCGGCGAGGGGCCGCCGCGCAGCCGCGGAGAGCGCGCCTCGGCCGCCCTGCCAGGCGGGGAGAGCGGCTCGCCGGGCGCCAGGCGGCGCGCGGCGGGGCGCGGCGGGGCCTTCGGCGCGGGCGGCGCGGCCACGGACGACGAGGGCGAGGGCAAGGGCGAGGATGAGGATGAGGACGAACGACGACGACGACGACGACGACGACGACGACGACGACGACGACGACGACGACGACGAGCCTACTTTCTGAGCTCCGCGCGGATTTCTTGGGTCGGCGCTGGACCTCGTGGCGGCGCCTCCGGCACCTGACGCGCTCCGCGCGCCAGCGAGAGGGGTCCAGCGCCGACCCAAGAAACAAGGGCGGACCTCCGAACGTTTTTGTTCATGCAGTTGTTGATTCGTCTACCGTCGGAGTCGGCTTTCGCCAGTCGTCGTCCTCGTCGTCCTCCTCATCGTCCTCGGCAGCGATTTCTTCAGCCTCCTCTCGCAGGCTCCCAGTGCCGTCGGCTCTCTGCGCCGCACTGCCAAGGGCATATGAATATGAAGGTCGGCGTCGTCGTCGTCTCCTTCGTCGTCGTCGACTTCGCCCTCGAAGGTCGTCGTCGTACGTCGTCGTACGTCGTACGTCGTCGTCGTCGTCGTCGTCGTCGTCGTCGTCGTCGTCGTCGTCGTCGTCGTCGTCGTCGTCGTCGTCGTCGTCGTCGTCGTCGTCGTCGTCGTCGTCGTCGTCGTCGTCGTCGTCGTCGTCGTCGTCGTCGTCGTCGTCGTCGTCGTCGTCGTCGTCGTCGTCGTCGTCGTCGTCGTCGTCGTCGTCGTCGTCGTCGTCGTCGTCGTCGTCGTCGTCGTCGTCGTCGTCGTCGTCGTCGTCGTCGTCGTCCTCGTCGTCGTCGCCGCCGTCCTCGCCGCCCTCTTCGACCTTCGGCGCCGGCGGCGCGGCCACGGTGCCGGTGCTCGCCCGCCTGGGCCGGGGCGGCTGCTCCGGGCAGGGCGGGCGGGCGCCGGGCCCCGGGCGCCCGAGGCACGGGTCCGACCTGAGCCTGCGGGCGGGCGCCACGAGGGAAAAGACAACAAGCATCAAGCATATACACATACACAAATACATACACTCATTCATTCATACGTACATGCATTCGTACATACGTACGTACGTACGTACATACATACATGCATGCATGTATGCATACATACATACATGCATACATACATACATACATACGTATGTACATGCATACTTACATACATACATTCACACATACACACTGACATACATATATATATATATATATGTATATATATGTATGTAGACCTACCTACCTACCTACACACATACATATATACATACATACATACATACATACATACATACATACATGCATACCTACATACATACATACATACATACATACATGCATACATAAATTCATACGTGCGTACATACATATATACATGCACACATGCATACATATATACATGCATACACACCTATCTACATACATACATGCATACATACATGCATGCATACATACATACACACATACATACATACGGATGTACATGTATACAGACATACATACATGCACACACAAACCTACATACATACATTCGTATATACGTACATACGTACATACAAACATACACACATGCTTGCTTACGTACATACATACTGGCATACAAACATACATACATACATAACTACCGTCCTGCATGCGTGCATGCCTGCATGCATGCATGCATGCATGCATACGTATATACATACATACAACACACACATACGTACGTACGTACGTATATACATACCTACATACGCACGTACATACATACATGCACGCATGCATGCATACATACATACATGCACACACAGGCATACCTACCTACATACATACATGTATACACAAGTGCACAGGCACCCTGCGACGAACTTTGCCTGTACCTTCGAGTAGGGTTGCGGCGTACAAGGTCGCTGGCTCTCAGCGGTGATTTGCACACCGCTTCCCTCCACTGCGACCCAGGAACAATCCATCGGAGGGCGCCTTTGTGTATTATGTAAATGTATCTATGTGAGGCGCGGACATGAGTATGTCAATATTTGCGTTAGCTCATGCTCATGATCCTCCTCCGAGACACTGCTTAAATTAGCCAGGCAGCGCACTCGAGGTCACCCCTGTGACCCACGCGGCTGCGGAGAGGAAGGGGGGGGGCACGGTAGACAGTGCATGCAACACGAGGCATGCAAGTCAGGAGGGAAACAGCAAGGAGACCAACTACGCTTCGCACTCGTGAGTCCTCGCCTTTCCTTCGATGTCGGCCTCACTAAGCCCCACTATCAGGCCCCAGAAACATCAAGCATGGATATGGAACGAAAACCTACTCTTAGGTCGGGCCCTAGAGGCGGATTTCGGACGAAACATCAGAATTGTCAAACGATAACCCAACAATGTTCAAAAAGGCTATCTTTTTATATATTTGTGAATCTGCCTCCTGAACCTACTCACGCGGAAGCGGTCGGGACCTTTTGGCGCCGCTGATTGAAAAAAACAAACGACAAATGTCTAGGTACACAGTCATACCATACAGTAAGGATGCGCGGTATAAGGATGCGAAGGCCTCGGACGGCCATGTCGACACTCTTCGAGCGGGGCGCGGCCAGCGAAAAAGCGACCAAGGATGGGCCGAAGTGGGGAGGACGCAGAGGCAACCTTAGAGAAAAGCTGCTCGTCCTTGCGGACTGACGGTGCACCGATCCTGCCCACGCCCCTCCTGAGCCCACGATCGGAGCACCGTTTCCGCCGCGGCGCGGCAGAGGCGATCCGCTCGCGCGTCGAGCAACCTGGGCTACGGTAAGTCGGGCATGTCCCCCTACAGGGGGATTTTGGACGAGAAATCAAAAAATATACCAAAAAAGCTCCAACGTGGTCAAAAGTTGTTTATACTATATATATATATATATATATATATAGTATATATATATATATATATATATATATATACTATATGTATATTCCTTTTTTAAAACAAACAATAAAAAAACATAAGAAAAACAAAAAAACGTCCCCTTACTATGTTTTACTATTTTTGAATACTCCTCCTGTAGAGGGCCAGGCCCGCCTTAAGGCTACGGCGTTGCGTAGTGTCCCGCAGGACGATCGGTGCACACCCGCTCGGCCGAGAAGGCACGTGCACCCCGTCCTGGGGCCCAAGATAGGCCTGGCCGGGGAGGGGCGTGCAAATCGAGGGGGGCCCAGGGACACGAACAAACGGGCACAAGTCCCAGGATCCCCGCCTTCCCCCCCACTTCCCATGTGTGCCCATCTCTTCCTGGGAGTCGACGACTGACTGTGTCCGTGTGCTCTTCCTGGGTGCAGTTGGCACCCTCCGAGACCTGAGCATGGGCCTGCCGCCCGCCGCCGCGGCGCCCGCCCCGACGCACAGCGGCATGTCTCGGCCGCTGCGTGGGCCCTTTGACATCCTCGCGTCGTGCAACAAAATCGCGACGGAAGGTTTTTGGCAAGTCCGTTCGCTCAGGTCCTCCTGCCTCGGGAGGCCTTCCAGCAGCTGCGCCTCGCCGAGGGCGGTCCCGGGGTGCCCAGCGCGTCCCGATCGACCGCCGGAGAGGCCTGCGCTGTGGCCCGAAAGCCAGGCATCATTGCCGCGCCGAAAGGAAAAAAAAAAAAATACGGCGGATGCGTTTGAGCAGTCTTCGACCTCCGGGGGGGGCCCTTACCCCGCCCATGGGGCAGCCACACAGGGACTCGGGGTGAAGAGCCAGTCCCCGGAGAAGCTGTGCAGACGGTCTGACGAGCCACGCGGTGAATGCGTCGACCCCTCCTGCCAAGGGCGAGAAGGCGCGAGAGATGATCTGGCCGTCCCCCCCTCCCCCTCTGCCCCAGCTCCCAAGATTGAGTATCGTTTAACCGATCCCCATCCCCAGCGGCGTGGCCTGGGCCCCACTGGCCGAGTTTCCCCCCTAGATGGGGACATGGGTCGTTCCCTTCGGGTGTCGAGGGGTGTATCCCCAACTGGGGGGGTAATTTGGTGGGGGTCTCGAAGGGGATGGGGATGGGGATGGGGGTCGGATAAACGATACTGAAAGATGCCCACAGGAGTCCCCGGACAGTGCCCCAAAGATCACGACGCCTCGGCCGGGGACTCCCCCGCCTCATCCTTCGGTCGGCGGCATGGCGTACGTAGAGGCCTCCTAGATGGGGTCGGAGTAGATAGGGTCGGAGGATCGCGCCGCGTCGCCGATGCATCGGCGAGGCATCGCCGATGCACCGGCAACGTCGGCGATGCACTGGTGACGTCGGCGTGGAGAAAGTCGGGCTCCACATCGAGCCACGCCGCCGATGCACTGGCGATGCGGCGTTGTCCTCCGACCCCATCTGCTCCGGCCCCATCGAGGAGGCCTACGATAAAATCACGACGCGTCGGATGACTGGGTCTTGGGGGGGAAGCGGGCCGCGCCAGCTTCGGGCGGCCCCCGCCCGGCCCCGCCCCAGCCGGCGCCCCCCCGCCCGGGCCAAACAGACCCCGGGCCCGGGGCGGCCTGAGCCAAAACGGCTGCGCAGCCGCCGGGGGTGGGGAGAACAAGAGGCCCAGATGGGCCGATTTCCACCACAGGTAGGAGAGGGAGGAGGAAGAGGAGGAGGAAGAGGAGGAGGAGACGACCGTAAGAATGGAGGAGGAGGAGGAGGAGGAGGAGGAGGAGGAGGAGGAGAATGAGGAGGAGAAGGAGGAGGTGGACCTCCCAATCCTCCCGTCTCCCCCGTCCTACCTATGTAGCGGTGGTGGAAAATCCACCCATCAAGCCCCCCTCTCCGATGCCTCCGCCCTCGGCCTCCGCGCCCAGTCCCCCCCACCCCAACATGAGCAACGAAAAGCAACGGGCCCCACGCGAGATGGCAGGTGCAGTGACCTTACGCCGCGGCTGAAGCGGGCCGCCAGCGCGGCACGCTACATTTGCGAACGAGGGCGCTCACGCGCGACCTTGCGCGGGACGCTTACGCGCGAATGTCGGCAAAATCGACCCCCCTTGTTCTTCCGTCGTTCACCTGGGCCAGACGCAGCTGGCGTGCGACGCGGCTGCGCGCCAGACTTCGGACGAGGCCGAGCGGCGGCCTCTTCTTCATTGAAGGAGGCAAAGTGTCGCGGTCCGTGTCTTGCACATCGTCGAAAGCTCGCAGATCGTCTACCTCGCCTCGACAGGGTGGGGGATGCGCCACTGTTGGGCCCTCGGGGGCAGAGTCCCACCAGCCCTTTGGGCGTGAGTGGTTTAGAGAGCCCGCTCTGTCCTCGACCCCCCTTCTTCCTTTCGGGGAGGGGTTTACCCCTCCCCCTACCCCCTCCCCCTGGGCCTGGAGAGGGACCCCCGCGGGTCGTCAGGGAGGTAAATTTCGACTCCTGGGAGGGCTAAAAAACGACGACCCTCACGAGGATTCTGGCCCCGACGGGGGGAGGGAGTTTGGCCCCTCTCCTCTTCTGTGAAGCCCAAAACATTGATTTTACCATGGTTTTGGCCCCATTTTGGCCGTCTGAGGGGGCCGCGCTCATCGTCCTTCATAGCAAAATCATTAATTTTACGAAGGTTTTGGGCTCACTTTGTCCTTCTCAGGGGGCAGCTCTCATTTGCGCTTCTGAGGAGGTCGCAAGAGGCCCCAAGATGGCCCCAAGAGGCCCCCAGGGGGCTCCCAAGAGGCCTCCAAGAGGCCCCCCAGAGGCCCCCAAGCGGCCCCAAGAGGCCCCCAAGAGGCCCCCAAGAGGCCCCCAAGAGGCCCCAAGAGGCCCCAAGAGGCCCCCAAGAGGCCCCCAAGAGGCCCCCAAGAGGCCCCCAAGAGGCCCCAAGAGGCTCCAAGAGGCCCCCAAGAGGCCCCACGAGGAGCCCGAACGACTCACACCAGGACGAGGGGCCCGAACGACTCACACCACGAAGAGCCCGAACGACTCACACCACAAGGAGGGGCCCGAACGACTCACACCAGGACGAGAAAACACCCAAACGACTCACACACGAGGAGCGCTTTCTCTCCCTCCTCCTCCGCCTCGTCCTTCTCCCGCTCCCCCCACAAGGAGGATGTACAAGGAGGCGGGAGGAAGGAGGAACAGGGGAGATATGCGGGGCCAAGCGGACACACGCCTGAAAAACACGACTGTCGGCATGCTTCGCAAGAGTTGCTGCTGTGAGATGGGCTGGTGGGGATACGCGAAGCGTAAAGAATTCTCATATCCGATGTTCCCACTTGCAGGCCCAGTGCCTCAAACATTCTGCGACTGCCTAGAAAATAGATCCTGCCGATATACCAGAGCAGCGCGGTAGCTGTGCATCGCGGATGGGCAAGAGGCGACAGTGAGCGCACACCTTGAAAGTAAATTTCCCATCATCCCCGCACCCACCGTAGGATCGGGGTGAGGGGCTGCTCATGGTTGGGCATCTACATAATTATATGTCTATAGATATGTCTATATATGTAGAGAGAGAAAGAAAGAAAGAAAGATGTATATGTCCTCGCTTCCAGAGACTCCCTCTGCAGGCTCCGTGCTGTCTATTGCGCAAAGCGTACCCTGCATGAAACTGTCGTAAGTAAAAAGTCGCCCTCCACGCACAGACTATTCCGAACAGCCAAGCCAAATATTCCCTCGAAGTTGTCAAACGAGCCCGCCACAGTCCGTTCATTCACTCGGCCAGCCCTCTCGGAGTAGGTCATATAAGTAACGAGTAATCCACCCTTTCCTCCAAAACGTGTCTTTCCCCACCCGGGGAGTGGGCTACTCCTCCTCATGCCTCCTCCCCTAGGCCCGCACGGGAGGGGAACGCGAGTTATCAGAGCGTGCAAGATGGCCCATTCTGGCAAGAGGGCCCAGGTAGCCCAAGATGGTCTCCAAGGTCGAGCAAGATAGCCCAATATTGTTAAAACAAAATCCATCACGCCTTTAAGAAAGCCAACTTCATCCAAACACAGTTCCAGATGGCTACGGAGCCTCCCAAAGAACACCCCGAGGGGCCTAAATCCGTCCCAACCCTAAGGAATGTCAATGTGTTGTTGTATTCTCGCCAGCTTGCTTCCCATGGCCCCTTGAGGCCTCAAGATGGCTCCAAGATAGCCCAGGAGAGCCTGAGCAGGCGCTGCAGAGGAGCCCAAGGCGGCCCAAAGAGCATACATCAGCGCCCCAGCAGGGCCCCAAGAGGCAATCACTTGGCATCTGAAGGGGGGGCGGGGTGTAGTTGACGCAGGCTTCCTCTTGATTGGTAGCCACCAGCCAAGATGGCCCCGAGAGGCCCCTGAAGAAACCCGCGAGGGCCCCAAGAGCGCCCCAGAAGGGCCTCAAGAGCGTCCCAGAGAGCCAGAAAGGCTTCCAATAAGGCCCAAGGATACTCCCCGACATTCCTGATGTCAACATTGTTGGCCTCAGTGATTCACGACATGATTTCCTACAATCCTCCTCCAATCAACTCCCTCGGGCATCGTTTCTGGATGGGCTGTGAGGGATTGTTTCCGTCGCGGCCGCAAACGAAGGCGGAGGCGGCGTCCGAAGTCAGACCGGGCTACGGGCCAAGCGTCAAGAATTACCCAAGGGCGCCCAATACCAACCATGCACTCATCCGGCCGCGACCACACCCTACACTCCGCCGGGCGGAACGATCCAGATAGCTAGCAGCAAGCACTGCATCGGCCCTTCGGGTTCCCAGTGGGCCCCTCGTGGGATTCCCCAGATCGCTTGGCGGGCTCCCTGAGTTCCCTGGCGGATTCCATCGGATTACCGGGTCCCTTGCACTGCTTTGCCTTGGGTGGCATATGCATTGCGTTTGCTTTGTGCAACATTGCAGTGCTGTATACAAGCATGTGTATAATATACAAGTATACACACACGCACCAGAACCATCGCGCGCGCCTTTGCGAGGGGTCAAGTTCTGACTCGCTTCGGCGCCAGGGCATAGCGCGAAACAGGCCCACGACAATTCAAAACCGCATTGTGTCGATAGTATCTTGCGTCATCTTGGAGCCTTCGTAGACGCCATCTGGCCTCTCTTACGGACGCCGTGGATGTACTTCTCTACCTTTGAAGCAGGGAGTCAATGTGGCAAACTTTTGCGGAAACGCAACGCCTTCGTGGCCATTCACCAATGTGAAATTCATGCGGTTGTGGTTGAACTATTGTGTCCCTCTTTAACGTCCTGGGCCCTATTGGGCCATATCGGGGCCATATTGGACTGTCTGGGGAGTCTCATGAGCTCGTGTTGGAGCCCTCAGGGCACCCTCTTCGACCTCCTGAGGGTCTCTTGACCTGTTTCGGGATCCTTTTGGGCTAAATTGAAACTAGCTGGTGGCGTTCATGGGGCCCTCTTGGGCCGTCTCGGGGTGATACTGGGGGCCTCTTGGGCGGTCTTGGAGGCTCGTAAACACCCAAACATTAATGCTGAAACCATTGGAAACAATGGGCGAATCACAGATGAACTTCTTTCGGGAGGCTCGTAAGAGCTCTCTTGGCGCACTCTTGGAGCGTCTTGGAAGCCTCCAGGGGGATACTGCACCCATGCTGGGCAGGTTGAGGTCCACCATGGCCGGTTTCTCGACCCGCCTTGGGGGGCAAATTTCCCCCGAAAGCGGCTCCAACGAGTGGGACCTCGGATCCGTCCCCCGCTATGTAGTATGTACATATTTTAAAACATGGATATACGTATGTGCGTGTGTGTATGTGTACATATATATATATATATATATATATATATGTAGATGTATTCCTCTTCGTGTACTGTTGGCAAGCCAAGGGGTGGGAACAACCCGTCACACCTCCCCCCCCCAAAAAAAAACGAGACCCCCAGGATCCAGGGATTCCGGGGTGCCCCAGACACCCTTGCCAAAAGTCCCCCGGCTCGCCGTGGACTTCCCAGGGCGCTTGGCCGGGTCTTGCCAGCAGACCCCAGGCGATCAGAGCGGTGATCAGAGGCCGACGAGAGACCCAAGACAGCACAAGAGCGCTCCACAAAGGACCCAGCAGATGGCCTCCAGAGGCCCCCAAGACGGCCCAGGAGACCCTGAACAGGACTCCCAGAACGCAAAAATCGCTTCATTCCTTCAAGGTTGCGCGCATGTTCAGCATATTCGCAGTTCGGGTGTTAGCAGCGCCCAAAACAACCAAAAAAGGCTTCCCGCATCGCCTTAAGACGGCCCACGAGACCCCCAGGCGAGCCTCTAGACGGCCTGGATGGCCCCAAGACTGTCCCAGGAAACCCCAAGTGAGACAAAAAGAAACCCAACGGGCCTTGACAAGGCCCCCAAGACAAGGACATGGGAGGCGCCCAAAGAGGCCATGGGAGGCCACCTGGAGAGCCCACGCAGCCCCCGTAAGGTCCCTAGGAGTCCCAGGCCCTCCGAAACGGCCCAAAATGGCCCCAGGACGGCTCGAGAGGGCCCTACGCCGGCCCACCAAGGATCCAACCAGGCCCACATGGCATCTTCCGCCAAACTGACCCGAATCCCGGGGTCGCACCCACATTTCCCGGAAATCGGTTGCGAACCCCGGATTCGATGCATTCCCGAAGAATTGCGTACTTTCGCGTGCCCCGTAGCGACCCGCTGCAGCATGGCATCTTTGGCTTGGCATTGCTTTGTACTTTGCGGCATTGCTTAATATTGCGTCGGTGTGCTTGGCATTC